CCCCATTCACATTCTCTGCTCTACTTAAATATTGAACTCAATGAAAAATGCCTTCAGCCACACCTCATCGTTCTATCGTTAGATTTTTAAAACACAGCACGGTTAGGAAGTAGTCAGCACATGGAAGAAAGACTTCCAAAGAATTCAGTGCTGCAGGACGTGATGTTGATGCACCAGGAGGCACTCTTCTCTGGGTCAGTAACGAACTGATAACCCATCAAAGTGTGAAGTGTGTTGATTCATTCAAACACTTTTTGAAGAGTAGGGCTTTTATTAATACACTAGAGATGCCTGATAGGGTCTTTTTAACAACAAAACTGATGCTGTTGAAAGTGACATCTTTCAGATGTGTTATAGTATCAAGGACCTATTTTTGTTCACTGAGGAGTCCATAGCACTTTTCACGAGAACGAGAGTGCAAAATTCTGATTTGAGTAAGTATGCACTTCCTACCTAAATTCTTCCTGCTATTTCATTTGGAATACAGCATTATTTCTCTCTTCTTGTTATGCAGTGTTTCTGACCACTGTTAAATAATTGCCACAATCCACTCCAAAGATGTCTGCATTTCAACAAAGTCCCTATAGGGCCAAATCCTGAAGGCCCTATTCACATAAATAAAGATATTAGGCTCATGCTAAAGATTGTATGTCTCTACATTTGTAACACACTTTGAATTATGAAAATATAAGAAATTATTATAAAAACACATATACATACAAGGACTGCAGAAAAAAATGAGGGATTTCCTTACCATGACACTCTCCTCCCACACTCCCAAGCAGCACGAATTAACATACCATTATATTTTATCTGCTGAATCATATTGCTTAACTGCACATGAGTTCTTTCCTGAAGTTTGCAAAACATGGAGAAACCTTAACTCTACCATGAACCTAGACAGTAAATTTGGAAAAGTAAATGGTAAATATGTTCTTTACTGAAAACATCTAACACATGGTTTGACTTCAAAATAGCACAATGATTAAAAACGCTTTTTAATCTTGCAGATCATTTATAATTCAAAATTGATTGAAATGATATGATAGAAACTTAGAGCTTGATCCTGCACCTTTCAAGTCAATGGGAATTTTTCCACTGACTTGAATGGAAGGAGGAACCCACAGTTCCAAAATGCGGATGATAATCTCAGTTTTATAACTATCCCATAACATGCATTAAAATTATGCAATCTCTTGTAAATGCTACAAGTATTCAAAACTCTACCACTATGACCCAATGCAGAGCATTCTTAACCCTAATTTATAAAAACCTGTAACATAATAACTGGATGGCTAGTAAAAAGAATTCATTCACATTTTGGTCATGTGCAATCCACAGATTTTAGATAAACAATCTGACTACCCAAGCAGATCCCTGAAACACTGTGGAAGAGGAGCATATTATCTATGCTCAGAGTTACTGAAATGGCCACTTGTCAAAATTTTAGGGTCACAGAACTTTTATTTTCTGTAGCATGTTTTGATGTTCTTTTAATATTGTCAATCTATGCAGAGGGTAGGTTTTTTTTATTATTATTACAAATTCTTACGTGCCCTGTAATAAACAAACCCTTAGCAGTGCTTTGGCAGAGACATCATGTGCCCACAGCTTTGTTCATATTCCCACAAAGTTATGATCTCTCTTTTTTTTTAAATTTAACTTTTGATTTTTGAAATTACAACATTTACAGGAAAACTAAAAATATTTACTCGACAGAGACTTCAAAAATTTCTGTTCAGTCAGTCATTTCCAAACATTCAAGCATCGGGTTCAAATGCCTCTTCCTTACTTTCAACACTCACTAACTTTAGGACTGATCCAGCACCAGTGCAGGGTCCTTGTCCCCACCTACAGCTCTTCTTTCCTTTTCCTCCTATTTGTGCCCAGTCCTCCCTCCTAATGGCTCCTTTTGTTCATGTCACCACCTATATTTGGAACAGCCTCCCATTTCCTCTAGGCACGAAGTGTTCTCCTCTCTCCTCCTCCAAATCCCTCTACTTTTACAAAATCTTCAAACTTTCATCTCATCACTCAAGATGCCTCCACGCCATTCGGTACTTGTAATTGTATCCCATTATATCTATTGTTAGATCATAAGGAAAGAACTCACAAGGAATTTGTCTGTTCTACATTTCTGAAGCGCCCTGCAAACTCTCACAGTGCTTTATTGATAACATATTATTATACCCCATAAGTAAACTATAACAAAATCAGCAACCTTGCTGAAAGCCCACAAGCTTTACATATATTAAAAACATTTGCAGCTAACATATGTGAGGGGCAAGAGGAATTATTAGGGGTAATTAACATCCCTAAAGAGCTAATACAATAGCTATTAAATCCTGATGTTTTGGAAAAAACTGGTAGTGTGAAAAAAGTAGGGCTAACAGAGATTTTTCAAGTAAAACACAGACCCTTGAATTAATCCAATTCAGTTTCAGCAAGAGCCCACATACAAGCTTGAATATGAGGCGCAACCAGCAAGTATCAAGACATAGCTGGGCCCTGGAACAAGAAAATATTAGGACATAAGTACTAGCCCTGGTATATGGCAGAACCTAGACTCATTCATCATGCAGTGGGACATATACCCACTCTTTGGGGCTACTTCTTTCAAGTCCTAGATTCCTGTGCATATACACTAGATACTGTGCATAACTATACAATATAAAATATCCTACCTAAAAGGAGAAACTCACCAGAAAGAACATTTAGAGAAATAAAGAATGAAAAAAAATCATTTTTCTTTTAGAAAAAAAAATCAGCCAGAAAAAACACATCTTAATATCATGCCGCACATATAATGTACCTTGTAAAGTCAAGAAACAATCATTTGGTTTTATGTACATCTCTCCCTCATTCCCCTTTGCCTAATGTCAATTGTTGTGTAAGTCACATTTAACCTAGGTTGTAAACTCCTTGGGGCAGAGATTGCCTCTTTACTATCTCAGTAAAATGCCATGTACACCTCTAGAGTTTCCCCAGTACACATAATAATAAAAATTAAAAGCAAATATGAATCTAGTAATTTAGTAAACCCTACGCAAATGGATGGCTCTGCTGATAATTGGCACATATTACGAATGTATCTTACTGACCTCTTGAGAGAAATCAGTCAGGAAGGAAGAGCTATTCTTCCTCCCTTACCGCATGGAGATGTCACGTTCATGGCCAGAAGCAAGGCTATTCAAGTTTATCTTAACCTAGAGCAGTCAATATCCAGGTTAAAGTGAGAAAGCAAGCAAATGACAAAATCTTCACAGCTCTGGGTTTACTGCTTAAGGACTGTATTATCAAGATGAAAATGTTTTAGAAAGAAAGCTATTGCCAATAGCACAACAGATAAAGTCACAAATACTAGAGAACGGTAGTGGAGGACAAAAGAAATCTAGTTAATCTCTCCGTTCCATATAAATTAAAATACATACTGACTCAGTAAAATCAGCACTCTAAATAAAAATATATGGCCTTCTTCTCAAATACATTATTCAAATACTTACCCTGATTTCAGGTCTGTAATTCTTAGACAGTTAGTAGCATCCAATCCTACTTTTCCATTTCTGACCACATTGGAAATGAAAGGAGAGAGTGCCGGTGAAATTCTGTTCAGAGCAACTTCAGGAGACATTTTAACTTGTCCTTCTTTCCTGCTGTACTGAGCTCTGCATGGGGAAAATCAAGAAATTACCTGGTGCAAATTCCCATGCCATGTAAGTAACTCAAAGGAAGCACTGGGATACCAAAGGTTTTTTTTAAAAAGCAATAAATTTGATGTGTTAGGTAACTATTATTCTAACACAGTGATGAACTCAAACGTTCAGGAATGTTCCATAATTATAAACAGACTGAACTACATACAGGTTTCTAAGAGAAATGAGCAGAGTATGATAAGGCAGTTCTCTCCTCCTAACTCAATAATCATGGGCAAGTAGTCAGATCAGGAAGGCTACTCATTGAATCTAAACAAAATAATTGAATCTTTCCTGGCTCTCTGCTTTTACTACAGATCCAATCCCTATCAGTACACAAAATCAACTGAAATGGACCAGCCTGACTCCTAAAAACATAGCAATGCTTACAGCCCTTGCAAATTAAAAATCCATAAGTGACAAATCCTGGCCCCACTGAAGTCAATGGGAATTTTGTTATTAACTTCAATGGAATCGGATTTGGGCCCCTAGGTAGATCGTCACGTGTAATTTCTAATGAGAACAAAATGTCAGAAAATAGATTAATTTCACTACTACAGCTGGTACAACCAGGACTGGCATCACTTCTGCAATTCTATTTCTTCACTAAATACCTATTTGGAAAGATTTCACTCAACATATCAGATTTACTTATTAGTAACAAATAGTATAATGTTTATCATCCAAAGATCTCATTGCACTTTTACAAAGGTATCACTATTCCAATTTTAAAGATGGGGAAACTGAAGCGCAAAGACAGATGGGTAAAATTTTCAGAAGTGCCTACGTGACATGGGAACTTAGGTTCAATTAAAAGTCAATGGGACTTAGGTGCCTTGGCCATTTAGGTGCTTCTGAAAATTTAACCCTGAATGATTTACTCAAGATCATGCAGAGTCACTGGCACAGCAGAGTACAGAAACCAAATTCTGTACTCTGCTTCTAGACCATAGCTTTTTATATGTTTGAAAAGGTCAACTGATGCTCTATTTACCCTCTTATTGCAACACAGCCTTCAGTTACTCTGGACAATATCTCACATCCTCTATGTACAACCCAGTAGAATTCATATATACAAAAGCATCTCCAGAAACCAAATACACAAAGAATAAGCCTAAGATCTGGGGGATTTGAAATTTCACCCTTCTCTCCACTTTCATTTATGCTATTTTTCCTTCTCTTATCAACGCTGCTTCTTGTAACTGCTGTTACTAGGATATCTTTCTTCCAGAGAACAAGACAAAGACAACAATAATGCTGTGTATGGACTGTGGCTATTATCAAGTGTTCCATAAAGAGAATAATTAGTTCCCTGCAGTAAAACCTTCACAATATCATGTTTTTCTCTTATTTTAACTTGAATCAAATCCCAATTACAAGCATTAGTAGGCGACTAATGGCTAATTCTTACAAATTGATAACTCCCGGTAATGGGTAGCAGTGTGAAGTATCTGATTTAAAAATTTAGCTTTTATGAAAGTCATTCACATGAAAATATAAATCTTCAAGAAACAGAGCCTAAATTAGCACTTTTTAAACATTATATTCAAGCAAAGGCCTAGCACTTTATGGCAACCAAGAGACAATTACATTAGTGTCTATCTTACATAATTATCTCAACTGAAAATCATAAGGTTGCCAGTATGCTATTGTTCATGGCATTTCCAGAAGGCACAGCAACAAATATCTGTGATTGTTTTCAGCTCAGCTTGGATGGATTGTCATGGACTACGTCCCCATAGCCTCTTTGAAAGACACATAGGAACACCCAGACATAAGTGTTGAGAAAGATAGTAGTTTTCACCCATTTCCTGTACAATGTGAGGGGGGTGACCCTTTCACCTTTCTGCATAAAAAAGGAAGTGAGTTCAGTTTTGACTTTGTATTATATGGGTGATCTTTTTTCTGATTCAACCTAATCTTCAGTCACTTGAAGCTGTACCTTGCAGGATCAGGCCTTTTATCTTTACGTCTACACTTACCTCCAGGTCCGGCGGCAGGCAATCGATGTTCTGGGATCGATCCCGGAAGTGCTCGCCGTCAACGCCGGTACTCCAGCTCGAAGAGAGGAGTACGCGGCATCGACGGGGGAGCCTCCCTGCCGCATCTGGACCCGCGGTAAGTTCGGACTAAGGTACTTCGAATTCAGCTACGTTATTAACATAGCTGAATTTGCGTACCTTAGTCCGAAGTGGGGGGTTAGTGTGGACCAGGCCTTTGAGTCACAAAACACAAGGATATTGTCAGAATAAAGGGCTAACCGCGCCTACTCATTCTCCTCATCCATCTCTGATTATGAGGTACAGCACATCATTTATTTTATATCCATATGTACTTCCACGCTACACAAGTGAGTTATTGCTCTCTTTATCAACATCACACAACGCTTAAAGAGATACTATCAACTAAATTTACAAATAACATTCATGTTTTGTAAACAGAGGTTTTACAAAATACAATGTTAACAATCTGTCAGTAATTTTTTTTTTAATTTTAATTCAGACTGAAATGTTTTCCCCCAATTTAATCCTTCTTCTCAGTACTGGAAACAAAACACAACAGTACTGAGTTAACCAAAATGAAATGAAAGTGACCAGTCAAGTTTCACTAACTAAAACAAAATACTTGAAAAAAGAAAACAAAAAGCACAAATAAAAAAAGTAAATTAACTTCTTTTAGTCCTTGCAGTTTCAATAATCTGTTACTAGTAAAACAGGTAAAACTAACATATGCTTTTTACTCTTAACAATGACCCTCTAGATCTGAGGAAATTATGAGTGGGAACTGCGTCAGGCAGCATGAGGGATCCTAAGACAGGCTATGTCTTTCCCTTCAACCTGGATGGCAGCATTATGGATATTACATAAATTAATCCATATGAAAGCAGTAAAGAATAGAATTGTTTCCTCCAGTATAAACTGGCAGAGGGAATGGATTTGAAATTACTTAGCGGATCCTTTCCATCTAATTCCTGATTCTATAATTGTCACCAAACTTTCCTTTGAAGGAAAGTCCTTCATTCCAAGGATCTTTTATAACACACATTTTAAAGTTCACATTGTCCCACAATGGGGTCTTCTGATAAGCAATATGGTGCAGACCACTATGTTACCTCTCCCCACCTTCTTTTACAAGGTCTGCGGGAGAAAAAACATTATACCAGGGTTTCCTAAATAAGAGTTGCATTGATGATCTGTTGAAAGCCTGAGGATGATACTAGCAAACATAAAATGGGGCACTGGCAGGTTGGTGATGCCCTTAACTTTAACGTAAGTGTGGGGACTGTAGAGATAACAAGTCTTCCACGTTCAATGCTCCATCCTGATCAGAGACAAAGCCACTCGGATCAGGCTATTGCTTCACAAACTCCTATTTTAACAGAGCACAGTAGCAGCCATCTGTTTTCTTATCAGGATGGATGCTGGAACCGGTCACTTACACAGGAGGCAATGCATCAGTCTAATAGAATTGCTTTGAGCAAGGCTGCAGGTTAGAGTGTAAACTCTTTGAGGCAGGGACTATCTTTTTGCTCAGTGTTTGTACGGCACCTAGCACAGTGGGATTCTGGTAAATGTCTGGGTCTCCTAGGTGCCACTGCAATACACATGACAACAAGACCAGGCACCTCTTCAGGCTCAAATGTTGAATCTGGAGACTCATCACCACCACCACAGACAGCTGGGATTAGGATGGTGTGTCACATATTGAGACCTGTTGTCACCACAGGCCACACCTGAGATTAGACCAATGCATCCCACGGCAGGAACCACTGCAGTCCAGTGGCAAACCTATTCCACGCTGGGACCCCTCGTACCACCACCATGGGGAGAGGCCTTGTAGCAGGATCCCTCGTTCCAACGGTGGGGAGAGGCATCCAATATGTTGGGACCCCTCCTGCAGCCACGTTGGATGGGGGGAGCATAACCTATGGCAGCCCCTCCTCTTGTTCCCCTCCATATTACGCCACGCCCCCCAGGGCGAGAGAGGCACGGGAGGAGACCCACCCCATTACCCCGTTCCCCACCCCCACCCTAGCCTGCTGGGGGCGCTGCTCCCTCTGGCCCCGCCCCAGCGCTGTCTCCAGGTACCTGCAGTCACTACGGGGCAGTAGAAAAAGCCTTAGCATCGGCCGCGGGCACGCGCCTTATCCCTGTACAATCTAACGGGCGCGCCCCCTGTCTGCGGCGTGCGCGCTCCCGGTCCGCAATTACCGGGAGAACGGGGGGGGGGCACGTAACTGTAGGGGACTCCACACATGCCTGAATGAATGTCCCCGTCTCCCAGTAGCGGAGGCCGCAGCCAAGAGGGAGAGGAGAGAGTGGAGGGGGTGACCCATAGGGCGGGGAAGGAACGAGACAATGGCGGGGGAGGGCACTGCAATCAGGCATTTGAGAGGAGCAACCCTGGGCTGGCCGAAGGACCCCCGTTGGCAACCAACGAAGCTCCGGAAGTGGCTGCGCAGGCAGCAGGGGGTCAAAGTTCACAGGACGGAAGCCCCCGCCGCTGAGCCTAGCGCAGCGTCTTAGGCCTGTCCCTGCGCCTCTGGGGCTATGGCAGCTGCTGGCCCGGCTGAGGTGGTGGTGGTGGGATCCTGCATGACCGACCTGGTCAGGTTAGTACGTGGAGTCGCTCGCTGGTGCGGTGACAAGCGAACGCTACTCGGTGTCCCAGCCCCGCCCCCGTTGCTCGGGCGCCTAGACTGAGGCTCAAAGACGGGGAGGGTCACACGGTGGGTCAGAGGTTGCAAGAGAACCCAGGGGTCCTGGCTCTAAACCACAGATCACACTGGGCTGGGGAAATCCTCTTGCCCCACGAGCCTGTGCTAGTAAAACCAGTGTCAGGTTTCCTTCCTACTGTGCGTGGATGAATGGGGAGGAACAGGCTGAGTTTCGTCAGGAGAGCAGCACTGAGCTACCAGTCAGAAGGGAGGGTGGATGGAGGGGGTGAATGGGAGTGAAGCAAAGACCTGCTTCGGGTGTAGGGGGAAGGAGAAGAGGCTGAGCAGAACAATGTAACTGAGCTGCCAGTTAGAGGGTTGGTTTTAGCTGATGTCAGCCATGCAAGTAATGCTTTGAGAGAAGAGTGTAGACCCAGGGAGAAGTGCACTGAGAGGAATGCCTGAGGCTGACCCTCAGTTTGAATGCATTGTCCGCTAGCGCTTTGATCAGCCGCCTGTGGTAACTTGAGGACAGGGAAGATTGAGTCTTGGGTTTCCAGTTGTACTCAGGCTGTTCAAAGTTCTTTTTGCCAGAAAGGCAAATTAATTTTTTCACTCAGACCATAGTAGTCTGTGACCCCTTCCTTAGATCCAGGCAAGCCTACGAGAAGGACAGTTTGATTTGATCTGAAGAGAGTAAATAAAGCATGCAAACAAATCTGTAGCTAGTTCAAAGGTGATTTTCTCCACCACATAGGCAAGAGATAGTTTAATATGCTAACCAAGCCAGAGTAAGCTCTATAGTAAAAAGAGCTATATTAGTTGTTGTTCCTGTGAAACACATTTGATTTGATTTTTAAAGTGGGAGATGGCCTCTCATATTTTTACATACTCACAAATATTGTATTGCCAACCTCAAATATTGAAGAAACATGAGCATTTTTTTTTAAAGTTTGGTTTTTGCCTTTTGTTCTTTGAGCCTTTTAGGTCATGTTTTCAAGCTTTTCTACAGAGGTTAAAACCTTTTTTAAAAAAAAATATGAAAGCTAAGATTCTCATGAAATCTCTTGATTGCCACAGCGGGGGTTTTTATGAAAAACACCAAATATTGCAAGACTTGAAGTAAAATCGCATGAGTTGGCAACAGTGCAAATACAAATTTAAAGTGCCTGGCCCTGTCAACAGCAGCTAACTTGCAAATCACTTGACTTGCGCACTATTTTAAACACACATTTTAAAACTATGTATAAGCAGACTTGGTTGATTAATATAAAACTTGAAAAATGTCTGGAACACATGAACTGACCCTACTGAGTTTTCTGGTTAATACACACACACCCCTCAAACCAACCCATCAACCTATATCAGCATGGGATAATACTGAAGTTGCTGGTCAAGAAAGTATAATATACATGGCTCAGAAGAATACGGAATGTGCGAAACATAGACACCCATTCCAGAATTCATGAAAAACTGTCCATGGGTTTTGTGTCAGGAAGATTAAGTGTTCTGTGTAATTTGTAGAAAGCATCAGAAGCTTTCTGAGGCTAGCCCACACTACCCGCCTGATTCGGCGGGTAGAGATCGATCTTCTGGGATCAATTTATCGTGTCTCATCTGGAAGCGATAAATCGATCCCAGAAGCGCTCCCCCGTCGACTGCGGAACTCCTGCTCGCCAAGAGGAGGAAGCACTGTCGACGGGGGAGCTTGCCTGTGCCACGTGGACCCGCAGTAAGTAAACTTAGTTCGATCTAGGAAACATCGACTTCAGCTACGCTATTCTCGTAGCTGAAGTTGAGTTTCCTACATCGATCGCCCGCCCCAGTGTGGACCAAGCCTGAGAAACATAGTCCTCTTATAAGACCTTTTAGAATTGATCCCTACATGTAGATGAATTCTCCAGCACGGATTTAAAAGTACTAAAATAAAAAATGTGGCCCTTTATCCACAAAAAGTTCCTGTTACTAGTTTGTTCTGTAAAATGCAATACAAGGAGATGCAAAAGTTTGTCACATATGACACAGCTGTCACAATTGTTAAATGTTAGGCCCTGTCCTGATTGGAAAAAAGAATGTGTGTTTCAACTGTGTTAGTTTAATGTGATTAAAGCTTGGTCCTTGTTAAAGCACATAGGATAACACATTTGAAGTCATGTTAGCTGGACCTTTTATAGCTGATGGATTAAAACATATTAGCCTGCACATTAATAGGCATTGGAGGGCTTTTCACTTGTGTTAAGCTAACTTGATTTAACTAATATGATTGGAAAAACCTACCCATTTTGCTCTTCGGTACACTGGGCCTTGGGCCTTATGTGTAAACTAGTGTTTAAAAAAAAAAAAAGTGGAAGGCTGCAATAAAGTTAGCTCAGTTGAGCTAGCTTAACTTGCTTGAAACTCCACTTAAACTGTGTCTACATTGGTGGCAAGTGGGGTTTTCAATTGAGTTTGTAAGCTGACTTGATTGAAAAAGCACCCCTTTTCTAAGTCTAGAGAGGTCTCTGCGATTTTGAAATGTTCTACATTTGCAGGCCAAAAACTACTTTAATGTTGTATCAAATTATGTTAATATCCATGCTGAGGAAGGCTTGATATGGGCAATTTCAAAGTCTCTGAGGGAGGTGTCTCAGAAATGCATACAGAAAGCAAGATGTATTACTGTGCTTGCTGATGGATCCAGTGATGAATTTGTATCTGAGCTAAATCAGCGTGCATCAGATTTGTGGAAGATAGGAAACCTTGTACTCTCTTTGCTGGTGTACCATCTGGAAATAAAAACAGAATCAGGGAAAGCTGGTGTTATCGTGTGGGGAATAATAGCGTTTGTGAGAGTTGTGGATATCAAATCAAAACCGCTTAGATTTTGTGTAAACAGAGAAATGAACTGGAATAGCTATTCTGAAATATTTAATCAGGAATAGTATTCCTGATTAACTCCCCATTTGGATTCTCTTATTCTGGAGTGAATCAGGAATAGTATTCCTGATTAAATTCACAACCTATTTTATTCTAGAATAATTTTCTGCATAGACAAGCCCTCAGTTTGAATTTAGATAGCAAAATAGTACATAGTGCTGGTCATGCTTAGACAAGATGCTCGTGTTGTAGTTGATGCCATGCAAAGCAGCAACCTGTGCTTTATATTCTAGATCTTCTATATAAAAAAATCCTATCTTGAAAAATTTGAGTTTGTGTTGAATGACATTTAAATCTTTGTGACTCTGGCTATCCAGCTAACCTGTGTCTGACGCATAATCACTTAACAAGAGGCATTACAATTGTATCAGAACAATTCACTTGTATGTAAATTTCAAAGAGATGTACTAGACCAGCAATCATTAACCGATTCATTTGTAGCAATAGAAACCAAGAGTAAATACTCAATATATTATTCTTTGTTTACCTGTATACTATTAGATGTTTAACAATGTAACCAAATTAGCTTGTAGATGCTAATTCCTCTTCATGTCTTAATTGCCTTTACATTATGTATGCAACTGTTTTCAGTCAACCTTAAGATCAAAGATGTGAGACGCTGCATGAAATTAACAATATTGCATATATCGTCTTCAGCTTATCTATCCATGATATAATGTATAACCAACAGTTGCCTTATGTTAATCAGTGTAACTCGATTACCTATGTATGCATAGTAAATAGAATGTTAACTTCCAAGTGATGGGACAGTGTGTGCTCAACAAAGAAGAATCCTCAGTCACATGCTGTGTTCAAAACACTGAACAGCCCACTTCAGCTATAAAAGTGAAACCTGGGGCCTGATCCTTTCATCTCTAGTCTGCTGAACTTAAAACAAGGAAAGTTTAACCTATAGGACTGAGATCTTCCAAGTAGTTATTTGGAATACCTGGGAAAATGTATGGAAAGATTCTCTATCAGACTTTACATCTAAGCAGCATTTGGATTCTGACCTTTTGAGATGGTTCCAGAGAGACTTTTAGAAGCCAGCAGATATAACATCACTGCTACAATCCTGATCTAAGAACACTGAAAATTACTTGTATGTATATGATTCCTTAACCATTTAATAATTCTCTTCTTTTCTTTTATTAATAAATCTTTAGTTAGTTTACTAAGGATTGGCTGACAGTGATATTTGAAATATCTGAAATATATATTGACCTGAGGGTAAGTGTCTGATCCTTTGGGATTGGTAGCACTCTGTGAATAGGGTTTTCAGTAACCAATCACTATTTGACCTGTTTGCTCAGATGGGCACCAAGGGCTGGAATGCCTAAAGGGAACTGTTTGGCTTCTGATTAACTAGTGTGGTACTGCAGAATTTCTTTTGTTACTGGCTTGATTAATCTAATTATAGAATAAAGAACCAGTTTTGGGGATTGTCTGCCCTATTTCTTGCAGTCTGCCCTGAGTATGGTATTCTCCATGCAGCCCATCCGGGCACCTGGTCACAGTCCCAAAGAATGATGGCAACTTCAAGCGTTTACTGGTTACTGAGAGCTATTTTTGAGGTCTCCCCAATGTATGCTGGTTTGCTAGTGAGGACAGAATACTGAAGGCAGTGATCAAAAGTTATTTGTCTGTCACCTATTTGGAACATATTGAAAA